CTTTTCCTTTCTCATTTTGGGTTAGATTTAACAGTGGTTTTCACTACACCTGTGTTCTGGTGGCAAACTGTTGCAAAAAAGCAAATTTCTATGTTGTGAGATTCCTGAACCATAACAGTGGTATAAATTCAGACTCCAAACTCATCTACTGGACTGGATTGGGATATCAGTTTCATGTAGGCATATTTTTTCCCTACCAAGAGTCCTGCAGGGGACAGATTTCCTTATCATCTCCATGGGATAGGAAGTCTATTTATCTTTCTTCTGTTCACCCTTGGAATAATCTTCTCACGGTTTCAACTACCATCAGTATGCTGAAAAGCCCTCAACCTTTCCCTTGCCATACCTGAAATCCAAAACAACTCAAGTACAAATTATAAGTTTCCCACAAATCAACTGTTTCTCTTCCAAGATTCTTAACCTGGCCAACAGCATTATTATTCATTCAGCTTAATCCTCAGACATCAGAATAATCTCCAAATTTTCTTTAATCCTCAACTGGCATCAAATCCATGAATCAGTTCAGCTTATTAAATGTCTCTTGAATTATTTCTTCTTATAGAAGGATGTTGGCTCCTACTGTGTTTCTACACCAAGTTGTCACGCCCAATGACATTCAAATGGAATTCATGTTCCATCATGGTTCCTCATATTGATAATTTCTGCTTTCAAACTTCCCCTTACCTGGCCTACAGAAAATGTTTCAAGGGACCATTTTCTCAGTTCCCTCAAAGATGTTACTNTGAAGCAATGTCCTCCACAACTAGACTGAAGAACAAAAGGACAGCAACTTGTGTGTTCCCCTTCCCCTATTCCCCAATGCTGTTCCCCTACCCCAATTCCCCAATACAATCTTAAAAAAAAAAAAATCCCCAAAGACCAGGGCCTCTCCATAACACCCAAAAGGTCCTTCTATTGCCATATGAAACTGAAGATTTACAGAGAAACTAGTCACTTGTGAATCCAGATTATCGAGAAAATGGAATTTCAGAGCTAGGATGAAATGGGACCCCTTTAAAGACAACCTATAAATTTAAGCAGGTCATTTAAAAATGTACAATTTACTGAATCATTTCAGAATGCTACTCAAGAAATCATCTATACCCAAGATTAGCAAGAATGGACTTACAATGAGGAAACAGGCGCCCAGCATCACAGCTTTCATTTTCACATCAAGGTCTAAAGGGAACTGGATCCCAAAGTTATCGGCATCTGTAAATGCCTCTCTCACCAAACCAGTCCACTGTTTGGAAATCTTGCCAACCACATTTTCTTCATCAAGAGATTTAATCTAAATTGAAAAAAAAAATTATGGTTTTAAGAATTCCAGAAAATAATAAAACTAAAAGTTGGAATAAAATAATGTGCACTACTTAACTATGAACATTATATCACTCCTTACATACATATAAATCCCTGTACCTATTTATAGATACATGAAAAAATGGTTTCTTTGCTACAGAGAATTTATGTGAAAGCAGTTTTGCTGAAACAGTTGACATTTTCTATTATACATTAAGTCCCTTCAATTGATCTAAAACAAATTTAAGCAGGAGAAGATACAAATATGAAATGCTTCTTTGAAGAAATTTCTAGAAGCCATCAGGAAAGTAGTAAACTAAACCTCCATGTGACACATCTGCTTTAAGAGAAGCACAGAGCGTTTACACAGGTTGAGTGTTTCAGTGTGATGGTGTTTCCCACCAACAGTAGGAAAACATGTACTAAGAGCCTGAGCAACAGGACTGGCAGTTTTGAGGGATGGAAAGCATCCAATAAGTAACTAGACACAATTCCAAACGCAGATCAAGGATTGGGGTCAAACTGTGTAGGACACAGCACAGGATTGCTATATTGCAAGGTGCCTGCTCTGGCCTTTCTGGAGGGTCAGAGCAGGAAAGCAACTTGGGTATGTGCCAGCTGAAGGCGGTTAGACAACGGCCCAAGGAGTCTCATGACTTGAATACAGGTCGAGCTGAAGGCAGCTGGCAACGACTCAAGGCATGAGATAGGAAAGGGACAGTGGTGCGTGGACTAAGGGTAGACAGGAGAGGCGAGGCGGGAGTCAGGACGGAACAAGGAAACTCCCTTTGTACTGATTGCTTATCCCCCCACATCCACAGATCACCCACTCTTGACGTTATCCTAAATGCTTTGTTAATCCTCCTCAATAAAAGGAGAAGGAGGCAAATGACCCTCGAAGTCTTTGTCTTTACATCGGGCAAAAGTCCCTCCACCTGCACGCCTCTGTGTGATTCCTTTCATCGTCGGTCTACATTGTGGAAAGTCTCCGGCCATTGGCTTTTGGTCTTATTGTGGTAAAACTGTCCCCACAACCCCACAAAACTGGACAACAGGAAGGTGGAAGAATAATGAAAAAGGAAGGGTGTCTAAAAAAAGAGCTCCAGGGGTGGCTGGGTGGCTCAGGTGGTTAGAGCGCGTGCTCTGAACAAGGTTGCCAGTTCTATTCCCACATGGGCCAGTGAGATGCGCCCTCTGCAACTAGATTGAAGACAATGACTTGAGCTTAGCTGTCACTGAGTTGCCGGTGGGCAGTCAGATGGCTCTGTTGGTTAGAGCACGTGCTCTTAACAACAAAGTTGCTGGTTCAATTCCCGCATGGGCTAGATTGAAAATGGCGACTGGACTTGGAGCTGAGCTACACCCTCCACAACTAGACTGAAGGACAATGACTTGACTTGGAGCTGGTGGGTCCTGGAAAAAACATACTGTTAGCCAATAAAAAACAAACAAACAAAAAGCTCCAAAGTAAAAATGTTCTAACTTTACAATTCTGCCTGAGGAAAGCCCGGGCCATCAGTTTAACAGATCATAGCTGGACAAATGCACCTCCCACGTGGGCATGTGGGAGCTGAATGGAGCCACGGTCACCATGGTGTGTACACGTAGGGCTGTGTCAACCTAGGAAGAGAAGTGTCTTTTTCAACAGTATACAAGGCACCACACCCTTTGAAGCCCTCGCTCAGGTTGGGAGCTGCTAATTAAACATGTGGAAACTAAAAACAGTTTTCTCATTTTATTTGGGTGTGGGTAGTTAAGTTCTTAACAAACCTGAAATCAACTTTTAATATGAAAATTGTGATAGCATGGATTACTGTTCATCAATATTCATTCACTCCCTCTCCCACTGTAGGCCCAGTATACTTCCCAGAACACTGATATTTAGCCTTGGCCATGTGACATTTTTGACCAATGGAATGTTGATGTGATATGAGCAGAGACCTTAAACATGGCTAAGTGGTTTGGCCTAGCTCTTGCTTTCCAGTGATCAGTTACTAGCATGATCCAGGTCATTTTTCTTGCTATCGCTCCAGAATGAACAAACCTGGAGCAGGCCTGTGGCCAACTTACAGACTAGATCAGAGTCATCTAGCTCTGGTATACCCACTGAGACACAGTAGACCTGCTGACCCATCAGCATGAATATAAATGCATGTTGTTTGACGCTACTGAGCTTTTGGGGTTATTTGTTATGCGACACTACTATGGGAAAACAGACTGATACAAATTCTCTCTTTTGATACGTTAGTGTTTTATTTGCTAATAGCTGTCACCTAAGCATTTGTAGCTAGTAATAAAGCCTTACATTTTATTTATTATTTTAGTTATTTTTAATTTTTGAGATTTTACAATGGAATACATAAAAGATAACTTATCAGCCACCATAATCCTACCACTAGACTTAACATTTCGGCTTTTTAATTCCTACAGCAAGATATCTAAAATTTATGTAAGAAGCAGAACATATAACTTTTTATAGAAAGGTTCATAAGTGTGAAAAATGAACTATAGATGAAAAGTCAACTGGACTAGATAATTTTTAACTAAATTCTGGATAATATTTTAAAAACAATGTTTTTTGAGGATAAATTTCAATATAATGAAATGATTTCACCTTCTGGAATAAATAATCTGGTATTATGTTACTATTAAATTTAAATTTTATTTATTTAAAAAAATAATTGATAAAGGTATTCTAAAAAGAATCTATAGGCTCATCTCATTATAAAAAATATACAAAAAATCCAAGTAGAACGTTAGCACATAGAACTTAGGTGAGAATATACTATAGTCAATTGTAAAATACTAGAAAATCATATAATTAAAAACATATGAGGGCCAGCCGAGTGGCACGATGGTTAAGAACTGGCTTGGGACGCCAGAGGGCCCCGGTTCGGATCCCACATATGAGGGACAGTGACACGTCCCTCTACAGCTAAGATGCTGAACAACAGCTCAACCTGGAGCTGGGCTGCC